CTATAGAATTTTAAATTACACAGAGCATATAGCAATAATATGTTAGTGTTCTCATTTTCAGGGTAGAATGACCAAGTTGGGCAAAGAGCATGAGAGGAAGTAACTTTTCTTTTTTAGGAAGGAAAGTACATGGAAACTTAATTTTTCTAAGGTGTTATCTTCATTATTATACCCAGAGCCAGTTGTAGGAAGATAACACTCTTAGAAAAATTATATTTCCACATCAGTTCTCTCTAAGAATTAGGAATGATAACGTCCTTCACTGAGCAGAGCCCTAGAGGTAGACAGTGTCTTCCAAGGTAATGGTATTTCTGTGGAGTTCTATGATTACAAAGTCATTACACAAAAGAGACATATTACCATATGCCCTGTGGAATGTAAAATTCAATACTATACAAATCTAAATTTAAAGGAACCACAAGCCACACTAGGTACAAAATAGAAATCTGGTATACCCGCTCTGAAAAAATGCCATGTCCTTGGCATTCATTATCCCTGGGTTTGAAATGGCATTGATACCATATCTCAGAACCCAAGTAAATGTCATTAACTATAAAATTTAACATAAAAGTTTACAACGTATAGAAAGTTAAAAAAAAGGAATGGTATTCTATAAAAGTTAGTAACATTCAACAAGTAGATTACTGATACAAGAGATTTAAAAACAAACCAACCCCCCCGCACATTTCTTTGTTCTTAAAAATAATACACAACAAGCACTGTTAGTTGCCTAAAATGGCTAAAGTAAAAATACAGAAATTAACATTTAAAAATTTTTAAAGGCTGTTGATAAAATACCTGCATAAGGGAATCCAATATTAAAGTGGCAACTGATTTCTCTTCATTATCTTGTTCAAAAAGAATTTCCACAACCGAATCTCTAATGAGGTTTAAAAAACAGAATGCTTTGTTGGTATCACATAGTATGGTACAGAATACACCATTAGTTTTGTTGACACAATATTTTTAAGTACCAGTACTATGTTAATGTTAATTGTTAAAATACAAGGCGTTTTCATTTGTAAATGGGAAGAATAATAGTACATGCCTCACAGGGGTTGAAGTGAAGATTCAATGAGTTAATCAGACAGGTCTGGGACATAGGAGGCATTCCCTGAATGTTAGCTATTACTATTGTTATGTATAGATTTACATAGATTTTATGTCCAGTTATACCTCCCCAAGCCTAATAACAGGGAAGGAACAGTATTCCATCAAAGTTAGTAAGATTCAACAAGCAGATTAGTTAGTGTTACAAGAATTTTAAAAACAAACAAACGTCCCCTACCCCTGCATTTCTTCTTTTTTGAGACAGAGTCTCACTGTGTTGCCAGGGCTAGAGTGCCATGGCATCATCCTAGCTCACAGCAACCTCAAACTCCTGGGCTCAAGCGATCCTTCTGCCTCAGCCTCCTGAGTAGCTGGGACTACAGGCATGTGCCACCATGCCCGGCTAATTTTTTCTATATATTTTTAGTTGTCCAATTAATTTCTTTCTATTTTAGTAGAGACAGGGTCTCGCTCTTGCTCAGGCCAGTCTCGAACTCCTGAGCTCAAACAATCCACCCGCCTCGGCCTCCAAAGTGCTAGGATTACAGGCCTGAGTGCACTGCGCCTGGCCGCATTTCTTTTTTTTTGTCTTTCATTTTATTTATTTATTTATTTTGTAGAGACAGGGTTCTCACTATGTTGCCCAGGCTGGTTTTGAACTCCTGGCCCCAAGTGATCCTCCCATCTCCCAAAGTGCTGGGATTATAGGTGTGAGCCACTGTGCCCAGTCTGTTTTTAAAAATAATATGACAAGGATTGCTAGCTGCCTAGTAAGATATCCATTTTCCAGTTTCTTATCAAATTAAAAGAACTCTATTTTGGGTGGCATGAGGAAGATCTTTATGGTGATAAAATAGTTATATATACATTTTCATTACATATATTTAAGGCATACAACGTGATGTTTTGATATACATATACATAGTAAAATGATTACTACAGTTAACCAAATTAACCTACCCTTCACCTTCCATAGTTACTTTTTTTGTGTGTGGGGTAAGAGCACCTAAAATCTACTCTCAGCAAATTTTCAGCATACAACACAATAGTATTAACTATACTCATCATGCTGTGCATTAGATCTCTAGACTTACCTTACATGACTATAAGAGTTTGTGTCCTTGATCTTCTCCCAATTTCCTTTCCCTCCTCTCCCTTGTACCCACTGTTCTATTCAGTTTCTAGATATTCAGCTTTTGAGATCAAGCAGTATTTTTATTTCTGTGTCTTGTAATAGTTCTATATCTTGATTGTTACAGGGATCACAGAAATCTATACATGATAAAATTACCCAGAACTATACATATACTTTATACCAATGCCAATTTACTAGTTTTGATATTGTGCTGTAGTTATATAAGATGTAACCATTGGGGGAAACTGGGAAATTACGCAGGATGACTTTTCTATTATCTTTTACAACTATTAAACATCTGTTAATCTATAATAATTTGAAAATAAAAAAGATAAAACCCTATTTTAAGCTGTATATCTTGTGCTCCCCAACCCCACCTCACCAGTTACAACACTATATTTACCAGGCTCCCTTGCAGCTAGATGTAGTTAAGTATCAGACAGTGAAATGGAGGCAGAAGTGAGTGGGACTTCTAGAAAGATTCTTTAAAAAGGAGAGGAAGCATTTCTTTAGGACCACTTGCTC